TCTCGTAAACTAGTCTAGGAACTCGCACATGGTCGCTGTCATCATTATCAAATAACAGATCATTACTTAACACATTCATCATAAAATGGTTTAGTTCATGGAATATACTAATTATTATCGGTAATGACAAATGGGCTTGTTTGCAAAAAAATACTGCAACTGCAAAATTCTGCAATAACAGTTCTGTTTGAGGTTAGTCTTCAAATCTGACGGGAATCTGACTTTAGGTTCCACTTAAGCGGCACTTCATCTTCCCCTTAAATTATTTGCCTGTTACGGTTCGCCTTAACGCTAGGTGACAGTGGTGCAAACGAATTCTGTCACTTAACTGTCACTCTTATGTTAAGGTGAGCCTTAGGTTCACTGGTGCAAATGGCCGATAATCCGCCATCTGACTATCGACGAGCTAGATAACCTCAATCAATAAGCGGAGTTAGAAACGATGCTTCAACTTTTGCTAAAAACACAGTTATTCCGCATCTTAGCGACAATTTTGCATGTGGAGTTATGAGTTTTTGATACCTAAAACACGATTTAGCAGCAAATAACACCGGACAATCTCATTTTCGAGGATAAATAAGTGGTTTTTGAAAAGCGAATTTCAAAAGTTTGTGTTTTTGTCTAAATTTAGGGACACGATCACCCAAAGTGTCACAGAAAAAAAATTAGATAAATGATGAAAACACTTTGGGGTATTCAGTAAACTTTGATGGGTGCCTCCTACGCCACTGGCACGGACTCACCACCGGTTCGGCTGACTGTTCCCCATCTCTACGCTTTGTCTTTACCGCCATCGTGCGTGCGTGTTGACGACTGCACTGCCGCCGAATGAGCCGAATGAACTTCTAGACGGTCGTCGAACGACGAACGAGGAACGTGAACCGCAACCGATTCTCACTTCTTGTTTGTGTTTCACATTGTAATATCCGAAATTTTCCAACACAAGTGACTAATTAATTAAGTGATATTCGTTTTATTGATTTCTGCACCAGAAAACTAGAAACATTCTACCTGCGTTGGTGATCAATCGGCAAAAGTGTTTGTGTATTGCTCGTGCGAGAATCATGGCTTATCGGTTCCAATAGACACATTCCAGAAGCTCAGGATACTTTACAATTGATTTTTCACCAGACAGAACAGGTGAGGTGGTCGAAGATGCACGCTTTTCGCATATTTTTGCTTGGAATTGACTAGTTTAACCAGAAATGTATGTATTTTAGTTCATTGCGTAAGAGTTGCTTGGTAAAAGCCAACAGGCAGTTACTTCGATATGCAGCTGTCTCAGGGCTGCTCTAACAAAAGCGCAAAGAAGCCTGGTTTGCATTACAAAAGCTAGCGAATAAATTTTCATAGTATTTGCCAGTGGGATATTAATAATCAAACATCCCATTGTTAGTCAGTGCAAGGGAAACGTCCTTGAACGTTCTAGAAGCGGATTTGAATTTAGCACATAGCAGATTTGCCTTTGATTTTAACGGCTTTTTTCAGTCGTTTTGGATAAAATTGCCATCTTCGGAGTAGAATTTTTGTTTGCTTCAACGTAGCTGATCTACGTGCTTTTAAACACTGTAGAACATTCCCCCAAGCATCTGCTATTTGCTAACGATTTTTAACGGTTGTGGCCAACCAAGTTGAGCAATACTCACTGGAAAAAAGAACGGTTCTAATTTATTTTATTCTCTCTTTAAAAATTATTTTATTCTTTTCTTGCGCTGTATCTCCAGAAACGTGTTGCGTTTCGAAACACTTTTAAGAATGTAAAATACCGATTTTGCGAAATGTTACCTATTAGGCGAAGAAAAAAGAGAACAACATTTGTTAATGAAGATTGCATTGCATGACATTTGTTAATGAAGATATAAATATATCATCCACCCCACAACGTTCAACCGGTGGCTCTTATTTTAAATGAAAATGTTGCTATCTGGATGGGACGCGCTGGTGTTATCCAATGGGCCCTAAGAGCCCTGACTTAACGCCTCTTGAGTATTTTGTCTGGAGTTATTTAAAGAATATTGTGTATTGTCCAGTTGATGATTTAGGTACGCCTTAGGATAATGAATACAGTTACTAATATTAAGTAACCAATATATTCAAAACGTTTTGGATAAAATTAAAATTGATTATAAAAAATGCCTGCATGATGCTTCTAAATTGACGTCATCCGGGGCTGTAGTCTGGGGCTGTTTCGGGATTACCTACAGGAAAAATAGTAAAAAATAATTATTTTCCAAATTTGCCGAAAACTAGGTCAGAAGGACGGCACCAATGTTTGAAGGTAATCGGCCTCATTAACATTAGCTACATACTTGTTGCTTCTTAGATGTCGGAAGCTCAAGAAACGGTATATAAACCATAAGGGCAACAGATGTCAGTCAATTAGATACCTCCTATGGATGAATGATCTATTTACAATTAAGTGAAGATGAATGTCTTTAATCTACAAATTGGAATAATATTCTGGTGATTGTGGTGAAAAAAAAATTATATAGATATCTTGGATATGAATCCGTGAGTTCGAAAAGAACCATTTTGAAATGTGAACCTCTCACATGGAGGTGTTCGACGTTCCGTTTTACTTCAAACATGTTTGTGCCGTTGTAATCACGTAATTGTGCACTGATTTTGAGCAACTTCTCGTATTCGGTTAATTACCTCGATTGCTTAATGTCTACCGGTGGTCAGTAGACCAGAGTCTGAGAGAAACTAAAGAGTTTAAGGTTTACTGTGTATCCTACAGTTATGGTATAAATGTTGCCCTTCCTCTGTAATTATACGGTGCATGGTTGTCTGGGAGAGTGTCAGTTGTTGTGCAATGCTTCCAGTAATCGTGGAAGACTCAGCTGCAATTATCTCCAATACCTGTTCCTCTATGTCTGGAACCCGAACACTTCTTGGTCGTCCACTATCTGTCTCAATTCCTAAACCCAATTGTCCAGTGTCTCCGAATTTTCATAAAAAATTTGTAGAAAAATACTTTTTTAGTAGGTATCAAACATTTTTATCATTGAAAGTAACGATTGTATTTTTTTCTTTTCGAATACTTAAGTATTTTAATAGGCTATCAATCAAACGTGGGACCATTTCAAAATTAATACTTCAATACGAAAATGAATCAACAAATTTGAAATTCGATTTTCAACTATTAATAACTTCTTAAAACTTTCAAAAACCATTTTTCAATATTCTTTTCGTACATTCTTTCCAAATGAGCTATTCCTATAACCCCTTAAAAAGAATGACACTAATTTTGAATTACCCTGTATATATTTATGAAATCAGGAAAATAAATCCTATCGATCTGTCAAAAATTCATAAGGTGTGCCATTTCAACAAAGTCATATTCAGTTAATGACAGTCTGTTTTTTTTAATAAAACACCCTATATATTTTTAGACATACCTGTAGGATTTTTTCTCCTGATTCCAGAAATATGTATATATTTTGCCATTAGCAGTTTTTCCTATACAAATTACGTTTAAAAAATTATAAATATGTAGTAACAAATGAAAGTGGCCTTGAAATCCGACAAGGCACTCCCTCCACTCCATAACTTTCTCTTGGTAACACTTTTTTTAATGAAACTGTTGATATCTGGATTGGGCTAGCGGGTCCGATCCAATGGCCTCCAAATAGCCCCGACCTAAAGACTCATATTTTTTCTCCGGGGTTATTTAAAGAAAATTGTGTATGAGAATCTAGTGCCTTAAAATAGTGGATGCGGTTCACGATATTAATATTAATCAGAACCAATTAATACTAAACGTTATAGATAAAATTGAAGTAGATTATAGAGTACATCTAGCGTTAAACGGAAGTCAGATACAAAATCAGTGATTTTAAAGATTATGTTTTTATTTATTTATTTGTTTTGAAATTGATAGTAGCAATAAATTCCGTTATGTTCTCTCAATAGATTTTTGTTTCATTTCAGGCTACTTTTTGACATTTACTTGTTTTATATTTGTATTTTAAACTCAGATTCAAAAACATTGAGTAAATTTAAACAACTTTTGTATTGGTCAATTTTACAATTTAATTAAAATAAATGATCCAGGAGGGTGTCAACTTATGAGGAAACACCCTGTACAAATGATTTCTATTCAGGGGTGTCTTACTCACAGTAGTTTTGACATAATCGTTGTCAATTTGGAATTTTGCACTTAAGTACGTCTTACAAAAATTGCAAATGGTGTAAGTACTAAGCATAAAAAAGACGTGTAAACAAGTTTTTGGATATTAATAGCAACACTTTACGCATTCACATTCTTTTATCGAAAAATACATGCAAGGTGTAATGGCAATTCATGCATTCCTTGCTGGAGGTTATTAGTAGGTGCAAGTATTTTGAGATATATTTCCTTAATATATCATATTCCGAAAACGCTCAGTTTTCTATCTACGCAGTGTTAAAAAATCGTAATCATTCAGAACTATTCATTGCATTTTATATATCAACTGCAAATGACAGAATGGCTCCATTGGAAAATTATTTACAGACGTGCTCTAGTTTTACTACATCAATAACCTGCAAATATATATAATTATTGAAGTTGGAGAAAAAAAAACAAGTAAAACGCAAAGGAAAAAAAAAATTTAAATATATCTAATTCACCACTAATAAAGGAAAAATGGCCGAAAAACATGTGAATTAGGTACATATCACTTTGGCTTTAAATACGTGATATAAATAAAACTGAGTCTAAATTGTTCTTAAAATGTATAAACCCGTTTTACATATTTAGGGCAACAGAACGTTCAAATTATTTTATACAAAAATACCACCAGAATGTTTTAGCAAGTCGATACATTTCTTGCTGAACTTTTTACTGCAAGTATCTTTGAATGCTTACCATTTTTGAACATGCCATATTTTGAAAAGAATTAGTTTTAGATCTACGAGGTGTTTTCAAAATCGTACTGATTCAGAACTAGGCACCACTTACATTTTTTGGTATATCAACAGTCAATGATACAATGCGAAATTTTTAACAACAGTTATTTAAGCAAATGCAAACTTTTGGTTTAAAAAAATGAACAACGTTGGATTGGCTGAGAAAATTAGAGCTATGTTTAACATTTGATTCTTTCCATATATAAAAACGGTGCACGTCAATTGATTTTCAGCAAACAAAAATATTTTCTAATTTTGCATGTAGCTGGAAACAAAAAGCTCCTTGAGGTTTTTTGTTTAATTGCACAGTTTCTGATTAGCAAATGAAATCCGTTGGATTGTCAGAAAATCAGTTCAGAAAACATTAAAAGCATCGCTTTGTATAATAAAATTACTTTATACAAGAATACCTAGAGGGTATTAAGTTGCTCCTATTTGTAGCTAGATGTTTTTAGAACAACGCTTAGTTTTTTTGCAGAATGTTATAAAAATGTACTAACTTGAATTTGAATTAAAAAAACGATTAAATTAAATTTTAAAACTTTGCAAAACCAAGGCTGATGTCACCTGCAAGTAGTAATATTTTTTTTTATATTAAAGTATACATAATGGATGAAATCAGACTCCATTTCGTTAAAATGTGATTTTCTAATATTATCATTTTGAAAAATATATGTATAAATTACAAAGCTTACACGCTTAATAGATCATTTGCAACATTTGTGATACTCAGATAAAAACCTAGATCTGCGTCCTAAATTTTTATTATTTTAAGCTATAATCTATGTTTTATCTAATAATGGGACGTTATCAAATTGTTTCTGCTTGAACGTATAGCATTCCAATCTTATGGAACACTAGCTGCATTTTTCAAATTTGAACTACTTGAACTACTACACCTATGAAAAAGAAACAAAACCCATATATGAACGACAATGAAACTTTCGGCATCATTAGTGCTCTCATGAGTTTAAGTCAAGAAACATTAACATACTTATGAGGCCTTAATTATTCACCTACACAGAACTATTTGGGAAATGTATTTTATATAGTTATTTCAATCAATCTTTTACCGTACATAAAAACCTAAATAGATTATGTAATATTGACGTGTTCAATACAGTTTTCTTTTCGTGTTTCGTCAAATTGTATTATTGAATGTCCTTACTATGAGGTCGATTTAGTTATAGTGTAATTCCAAAGACGCATAATTTACTTCGGATATTTTCTGCGGAATTGTCGTATCG